TTTAAATATTAAATATGCTTCTGTTGATGCTCTGGTGTATTTCCTTCCAATTTTAACTCTGTCTTTTAAGATATAATTAGTCAGTACATATACCATTTTCTCTTTATTAATTTTGGGAACATTTTCTCACATAGTTTTTTTCTTCTCCTTCAGGTTATTTCTTTTCCTTTACCTCACTGTTTCCTTACCCGACTAAGGGAGCTTTTAAATATGCTTCTGTTGATGCTCTGGTGTATTTCCTTCCAATTTTAACTCTGTCTTTTAAGATATAATTAGTCAGTACATATACCATTTTCTCTTTATTAATTTTGGGAACATTTTCTCATGTGGATCATAGTTTTTTAGCTACCATTTTGATACATGTTTAATTTTCTGTTATGAATGCACCTTGATTTACTTAATATTTATCAGTTATTTGTTTACTTGTTTATTTATTTATTTATTTTTGAGATAAAGTCTCATGTAGCCAAGCTTACCTCAAACTCACTATGCAGCCAAGGATGGCTTTGAACTTCTGATCCTCCTGCCTCTACCTCCTATGTGCTAGAATTATAAAGCATGTACCACCATGTCCAGTTATTTGGTGCTAGGGATTTAACCCAGGCTTTGTGCATGCTGAGCAGGTACTCTACCAACTAAGCTAGAGCCCCAGCTCGTAGTGTTATTTATATATTTCCAATTTTTAACTTTTTTATTCTTATTTTGGTTTTGGCTTTTTAATCCAATTTTTGATTTATTAAATGATATTTGAGCTGTATTTTTAGCATGAGCTTTCTGTATAGTTGGATATTTCCTTTGTATGCATCTCAATATAATATACATGGGCCATTATGCATGAACTTTTAAAAATTTTTCCTACTTGTCTTAAGAACAGTGCTGTTTTATATTATCATATCTTTAACAATATTTGATATTTTCTTTTTCAAGTAAGAATACCAAATGCTAATTTAGTAGGCCATGAATGATGCTGCCTTGTACTGTTTTCTGTACCTTTTAACCAATATGTTTTCTCATGTGTGTAGTCTATGCTCATATCCTAGGGCACACTACATATTACATACTAGGCAATTTATATATGCTTTCTTAAACCTTGATGTTTCTTTCCAGTCTTCAATGTTTTGGTTTTATTATTGTGGTAGAGTTGAAAGCATTTTGTATCTTTTGCATTTTTATATTTACGAAATAGTGTCATATGGCCTAGAGTTCAGTGATTGAAAAAGTGAAAAGGGAAATGAGATTGGTTTGTCTTCTTTTGTTTTGTAACTTCCAGTTAATTTAGTAACTCACTCAGAAGTACTTGTGAGCTAGACCTGCATAGTAGCCAAACTTTGTCTTCAGATTTTATAAATAAACTAGTAGGAGGTATAGCCAAGTAAACATGTGATTAAAACAATGTGAGTGCAGTGATTGAGCCTTTGGAAATTACAGAGGTGCAATGATTTCCCCTAATGAGAGTGGAAGCAGTTTGGGAAGGGTCACCAAGTTGCTTCCTGAGCACTTGTTTGTGTCTACTCCCCTCCAGCTTACAGAGGTACCCATACATTATTTAATCACTCTCCTGTGAACTTGCAGTCTTCACCCTTTCTTCTCCACTCCTGTAAACAATATTTCAACAAACAATATTCTTTATAATGAGACATGGTGCAAATTCTGATTTTCTCAGGGTAAATTCTTAGAAATGATACAACTGAATTATAGTTTATGAAAATTTTTTATATTCTTCATTAGATGGCTTTCCAGAAAAGTATGTTTCTATAGCAAGCATGAGAGTTTCTATTTTATTGCAACACTCTTGTCAACACTGTACTTTTTAATATTAACAAATGTGGGCTGGAGAGATGGCTAAATGGTTAAGAACACTGACTGTTCTTGCAGAAGACCCAAGTTCAAATCCCAGCACCCATAACAACTGCCCACAACTCTAGTTCCAGGGGATCCGACAGCCTCTCTTGTCCTCCGCAGGCATTGCACGACACAGGTGCACTTACCTACATGCGGGCATAACACTCATACACATAAAATAAAAATAATAAATAAAAATATTTTTTAAAATATTAGCAAATGTTATCAATAAATAGGGTAGCTCATTAGTGACTTGATTTATTCATCAGTTTTCAGTAATGTCAAACATATTTTCACAGGTATTGATCCTTTATTTTCTTCCTAGAGTTTTGTGTTTCTGTATTACCACCTATGTTTTAGAAAATCTGTAATACTCATCTTGCCCTTATATGTATATTGCTAACTGTTCTTCCAAAGTTACTTTTTGCCTTTTGTCTTAGCATTTTATTTCTCTTTTTGTGAATAATTGTTATATACTTTGTGAATAATTTAAAAATACTTGTTTTAAAATATTTAATTATCTCTAGATTTAATGAATTTCAAAAGAGAACCTGTTGCAGTTGAAATTTAATGTGACTTTCTTTTCCTATTTTTTTCCTGGAAAGCTTAAAGACTTAGAAGGACTATCACAACTATTTTAAGAAAGATGTCTAGTATGAACTAGCAGTTTTCTTTCTTTAATGCTTCTTTTCTGTCCTTCCATTCCTGCCTCTTAGGTATGAAGCTCTCTTTCCTTTGGTGTTGTCATGCTTGATGTTCATCTGGATATACATGGAGCAAGAAACCCTACAACAGTCTGGTGTTTCCTGTAAGCAGAAGGTAGCTGTCAAAGGCATTGTTGCATTATTGCCATAAGGGAGTTACAGTATTATTTCATCAAAAACTCTTTGTGCTTAGAATTTTAGCATTCAGAGAACTTAGCAAATTTTATTTAGCCTTAATAACTAAGTTAAACAATGAATAAGGGAAATTTTCATTTATAACAAAAAAGCACAGTTTTTCTGTTTTACAACACATGTATGGAATGGGCTTTTCCTAGTGATTTATTGAGAATCAAATAGTGAAAACATCATTATACAGCCAATGAGATAGTTCAGCAGGAAAAAAAAAAAGTGCTTGCCGCCTACCAGATAACCTGAGTTCAATACCTCAGACACACCTAGTGGAAGGAGAGAGCCTGGTCAGAAGAATCTTATCATAAGGTCATAAGGTGACATTTAAGTCTCCATTGCTGTTTCTCTGATCCAAGATCATCCTAATCCAAGGTGCTGATTCCATCATTTTAGTGATTGTGGCCTCAGACCACATCTTAGACTCTTTATATACCACAGTATGCTTGAAATTGGGTAAAAGTCTACCACTTTTTAAGGACATTATTATCACAATGAAGTAGAAAGTTAAGTTGATGTCTCCTGTCTTTTAGAACTGAAGGTAATCCTGAGAAACTGATGATAGAAAATTCACAGTTTTACTGAGGTCAGATGAAGAATGCCTTCATAGTTGATCATTCCTAACCAACTCCACTTGCCTTTCTAGAGAGGAATTGATCATTCAGAATAACTTTTCATTACAGGAGAGGCTTTATTGAAGTATCTTGAATAATTGCTGGTTTTTAACTTCCAGCCTCAGGATATTAAAACACTATATGAAAATCAGTTTTGGTCAGATCATTGTAAATAATCAGAGGTCAGAAATTGTTCTTTAATATTAAGTATTTCAGCAGACTGAAGATCATTATGTCACTTTTTAAATTCTATTTTAAGCTAAAACAAGTCTGTCTTCTTCTTGAAGAGTGTCAGAGTGCCCTGGCACTTACTGGACATTTGTATAGGGATAACTGTAGGAAAGTCTTCCTTTACCCTGTTCCTTTGTCTCTTTCCTAGGGCTAGGGGAATTAAATAAGAGGACCCATCTCACTGTAACTGAGTGATTTTTCCCTTCTCTCAAAGACAGAAATATTTTTCATTTTTAGGAAAACTAACTTATCTGCAAATAGAATAAATAGAACAAAGAAAGGGAGAAATATTTAATTTTTACCATACTTTTTAACATCATATAACCAAGTTTAAAGAGATCACTATACTGAGCACCTAGGCTTTGAATGGGGATTTGAAGGTGGAATGTTTATATGAGGTAGGAAAAAACCAGTTCTCACTTTAATTCCACATGTAATAACACCATGACTTTATTCAGCATGTTTTCATTCATGTTTTCCCTTTGAGCAGATTTTATTAATGTGTAATTAAGCCAAAAAAGACTTATTGCTGAGTTTTTTGGTAGGCACAATGTAAATTTCTACCATGGTATCTTAGTCATTGTTAATTTTCCTATAAAGCATAGAAGTAAGCCAACTGCTGTTGTATTTTAATGTATTTCTTATTGTATCACAGCTCACCAGTATCCAGTTCTCCTGCAATACTGACATAGCTCAATTTCGACAGCTCTATCTGGATGACATCCGTAGGGCATTTTTCCTTGTATCCTTTGTTGGAACTTAAGATCTGCTACCCCCATTTTAATAAAGTGAGGTGACATAGACAGTGTTTCTGCTTTCTTAGTGGTAGAATTATGTTAGAGGCTGCTTAACTCTTCTCTCAACTATAGTTTTCTCATATATATAATCAAAATTCAGGGGCATAGGAGACTATGGATTTAGCTCAGGGATAGAGTGCTTGCTTAGCATATACCAAGCCTTGGGTTCAAATCCCAGTACCAAAAAAAAGGAAAGAAAGAAAATAGAAAAATGTTTTTAGCTATTGGAAAGAATGAAGAATGATGTTGCCTGTGTCTGTGTGTGTGTCTGTGTGTCTTTGTGTTCCTACCATTCAGTATCTCAGCAACTAAGATGTTATCACATATGTATATATTTCTTAAAAATTAAAATGTAGCAACTAAAACAGAATTCCCCTTTTAATCCTCAACTCCAGTCTAATTTATCTCATCCTACGAAAGCATTATTATAAATCTGTATCTTTCTTGTGGGCTTTACATGAAATTTGTGCAATGTCTGTCTCACAAGGCTTTTAGGATTACATCAAAGGAAATATTATGAAAGTTATTAGTACTAGAAGTGTAAAAGACAGTGTAGGGAGACTTAACTGCTGAGCTATCTCTCCAGCCCCAACGATTTCCCTTTTTTAAGGCTAAATTGCATTGCATTACATAGATACTTCTTTATCCATTCATAGTAATTTAGGGTCTTTCTGTGTTTGGACCATTGTGAATAATCTTTTAATAACCATGGCAGTGCAGCTATCTTTTCAAGATACAATAGCAATTTCATTTGTGTGTGTGTGTGTGTGTGTGTACATCATATATCCAGAAATGAGATTTCAGGGTCATATAGTTTTATTCTTTGAAGGAACCTTTAAGCTGTTTTCCGTAGTGACTATGCCAACAGTGTGTGAGGGTTTCTTTTCCCCCACATTCTTGCCAATACTTATTTTTCATCTTTTTTAGTGTGCTCTGATGGGTATGAGGTGATAAACCATCAGATATACCACACTGGTTGTTAAGTATTGGAGGCATTTCCTTTGAACTTACTGTGGTGTAGACTGCACCACTCAGGTCTAGAAAAGAAATGTTCTCATTCTCTCCTTCTTGCTTCCTTTATCTCTCTTTATAGGTTCTTTCTACGCAGCCAGTACTAACAAGCTACTGTGCCTCCTTGTGCTAGGATCTCTCTAGGTTATAATCACATTCTGTGTTTTCTGTTTACTACCAAACTCCTTCAAAGCAATGTTTTCATTATTTCCTACTCATTCATTGAATCCACAAGCCTATAACAGTGCCTGGCACATGGGGCTGGTCCATTAATATGTGCCAACTGTCTCTATGAAGCTGTATTTTGAGTGGTTTGTACAGGCTTCCTAACCTCAGTCTAATCTGCTTAGTTTACTTAGCCATGCTATAACATTAACTCTGTTGATTTTCCTTTGTTTTCTTTTGACTTCTAGGAGATGATCCAAGTTCTCTTCTTTTTATATCACTCTGTTCTCCTTCGCCTTCTCTTCCTTTGCCTGATCTTGACCCATGGTTTTCCCCAGGCTCCATCATTAACTTGCTCTTCTTACTGTGTCTGATGAGTGCTATCCTCTCCTTGAGCATTGGCATACATCTCTGTGCAAACAACTTTGACATCTGCTTGTCCAGCTTTGACCTCTCTCCTGACCTTGGGAGCCATATTTCCAACATTCTCCTGGGTATCACCAGGTACATGTGCCAAAAGTAACCGCTGCTGTTCTTATCTAAAGTTGCTTGCTTGAGTAGATCTCATCTCATTTAGTGGCACCACCGTGCTCCCAGCTACCCAGGCTTCCAAACTGCCATATGGCGTTGCTCTTTAGCTAAGTCCCACTAGCCCCCCACATTCTCCACTTCCATTATCACTTTACTAGTTCAGGCTTTCTGCTGGTTAGTTTTTGTCAGCTTGGCACAAATCTAGTCACTTGGGAAGAAGGAACTCAGCTGAGGCATTGTTTCCATCAGACTGGCTTGTGGACGTGTCTGTGAGGTATTTCCTTAATTGTTTATTGATGTACAAGAGCCCAGCCCTCTGTGGGTGGTGCCATCCTTGGGCATGTGGATCTAGGCTATATAGGAAAGGTAGCTGAGGGGCTGGAGAGATGGCTTAGCAATTAAGAGTACTGACTGCTATTGCAAATATTCTAAGCGCAACTGGATGAGAATGAAAGAGAATTTGGGGTGTAAATGGCTATATATACAAATAATGGTACTTAACATATACTCAAGGTTTAATTAATGGTTTAATTATAAATTTCTTTTCTCATTGATCACATTTAGAAAAAGAAGTCAGGGAAAGCCAGGTCACAATTTAAATTGGGCACTTACAGCCACCTAAAAAGGAAGTAAATCCAGCCCTTCAGCACCTGGTACGCATTCCAAAAAGGGCCTGGTCATCTGTGGTACCACTGGCCAAGAGATATTAGGTGTGACCCCAGGTTAGGTATCCAAGAAATCTTTAAATTTTAGCTTTAAGTCACAGACTTTCAATTTCTCTTTCAGAGTCTGGAGAGATGGCTCAAGGGTTAAGAACTCTGGCTGCTCTTGTAGAGGACCCAGATTCAATTCCTAGCACCTACATGGTGGCTAACAACCATCTGTATCACCAGTTCTGGGAGATTAGACACCCTCTTCTGACCTCTGCAGGCATTGCATGACAAAGGTACACCTACCTACATATAGGCAATATACTCATACACATATAATAAAAATAATAAGGGCTGGAGAGATGGCTCAGTAGTTAAGAGTACTGGCTGCACTTGCAGAGGACCCAGGTTTGATTCTCAGCACCCACATGGTAGCTAACAACCATCCATAACTCCAGTTCCAGGAGGATCCAATGCCTTAATATTAGGGACCTCTGTACTAGGCATTGCACGACATGGGTGCACTTAGATACATGTAGGAAATACACTCACATACACAAAATAAAAATTTTAAAATTTAAAAAAAATAATAAAAAAAATATTAAAAAAAAAAAAAAGAAGAAAGGTAGCTGAGTAAGGCAGGGGAAACAAGCCAGTAAGCAGCATTCCTCCATGGTCTTTGCTTCAGTTCTTGTCTTCAGGTTGAGTTCCTCCCCTGAATTCCTACCATGGCTTCCCTCAATGTTAGTTTGTGACCTAGGAGTTCTAAGATGAAATTAAATTCTTTCCTCTCCCCAAGTTGGTGTTGGTCAGTGTTTTATCATAACAATAGACAGCCAAACTAGAATGGTTTCTTACCTATGACATGAACTACTTGAAATACTCCTTAGGTGAATTTCCTGCCTGCAAGCTTTTGTCTTCAATTCATTTTTTTTATTGTGCCATTCACCTAAAATATTCACTTCCCACATTATTTCTTCATACAGTTAAAGCTCAAAGTGTTTTTGTTAATATGTCACTAATCTGTATTTCTTCCTCCATTTCATTATATCTTTCAATAAGCCATTATCTCTTATACCTATTTACTCTTTCATGACTATGTAATTTATTTCCACACTGTCTCTACTGATTTCATCAGTATATGATCACTTTAATACTATTCTATTCATGTTTACATTCTTAGTGCCTGCCTAGTCTCTGACACACACTAGACAATAAATATTGATTGGTAAAGTCATTAGTTCAGTGAACAGTTGCATGAACACCTTTAAGGCTCAGCATACCAACTCAGATACCACTTTTTCACTGAAAATTTTCATAATTCATACTTCCTCTTCAGGGTTTCTATACCAGTTTTATGTGCACGTGTGTAATAGTAAAAGAACTAACATTTATCGATGGCTTTTATTAATTCAGGCACCAATTTTTTTAGTACTTTGCTAGCAATAAATACTGGAAACCAGCAAGATTAATGTCTACATTTTATTACTGTATTAATACAATTAAAGTTCATGAAATGGGGCTAGTGAGATATTCCAGTGGGCAAAAGCACTTGCTGTACAAGCCTAAAGACCTGAGTTCAATCCCTTGAACCCATGATAGAATTAGAGAACAGACCCTGGAAAGTTGTCTTCTGACTTCCGCTTGTATTGTGGATTGCATATACCCACACACACAGTAGTAATAATAATAATAAATAATTTTTTTAAATTTTAACTTCAAGAAATGTAAAAAATGTTCAGCATGTTTTCATTCCATTGTCCATTGAATTATTCTAAAGCATGATGTCTTGGGATTTAGTTTTGAGCCTTTTGAAGATCCTAGTATGTATGGTGGCACGTGACAAGCACATGTAAATAAAACTGTCCTGCAGCTGAAGATGTCTCATGTACTAGACTTGGGGTCTTTTGAAAAAGCCATATGTAGCCAGCTGCACACATAGTCCAGCTTGTTCATCACTGAGAAAAGGAAGCTGGTCCTCTCAGAGCTACCAGTGGCTCCCCACACTTCAGTTTTCAGTGCATTGCCTCAGTTTTCATATCTTTATAAGTACATTCACCAGGAATTCAATCAACTATCCATTTGAAACAATTCATGATGATTTAACAAGTACAAAAGCAAATTGCTTTTGTGGTAGAATTGTCATTGTTTTTCTGTTTTTTGTTTTTCTAAATGAAAAGCAATTGTCTGCACCAAACACCAGGTACAGAAACAGTGGCCATAATCAAAAGAAAAGGCAAGCTGGAAGACACACCCATATCCCTCTGCTCTGCATACACCTGTCCCCTGCCAGGTGATTTGAATTCTGAGTTTGAAATCTTAGGTCTGTAAACCAGGCTTACAAATTACTTGCAAGATTGTTCTAAGGATTAAATAAGAATACATGATCTGAAGAAAAAAGTTATGAATTCTGACTTGTTTTGGCCTTTCCTTAACTCTGGTTAGGTTTTCTTCTTAGTGACAGCATTTTTTGGAACTGGAAATATAGCTTCTATTAACAGGTAAGTTTTTAAACTTTTATTTATTCATTTAATTTTGTGTGTGTGTGTGTGTGTGCGCGCGCGTGTGTGTGTGTGCATGTGTGTGTGCGTGTGTGTGTGTGTGTGTGCGTGTGTGTGTGTGTGTGAATGTGTACTACTGTGAGTGTGGATGGCAGATGACAACTTCCACCAGGTGAGTTCTTAGGCTTTGAACTCAGATCCTCAAGAATTGGTGGGAAACACCTTTACCTGCTGAGCTATCTTGCTAGCCCTTAACAGGTAATTTTAAATGAAAACAGCAGTTTAAGACCAACATTAGCTACAAAATGAGTTCCAGATCAGTCATAGTGGATGGGATCTTGTCTCAAAAAGCAAGCAAATTGGAACCTGTCTACAGGGGGGATTTTTTTAGATTTATTTCTATTTTTCTTAAGTGTATGCATGTGTGTCTGTGTGGTATGTGTGGTTGGGTGCCCACAGAGGCTAAAAGAGGCCATCAGATACCATGAAACTAGAGTTACAGACAGACAGTCATGAGCCACCAGACCTGGGTGCTGGAAACCAAACTGAGGTCCTCTAGAAGAGCAGCAAGTGCTCTTAACTGATGGGCCAGCTCTCTAGTCCTTTTACGTCCTTGTTTATACTCAGTAATATATTTGGATATTGGTATATAGATCTATTTTGTCCATTCTGTTGACCTCAAAATATTTCTTAGAATGAATGCTTAAGTTTTAGTAAAAGTAGAATTTAGATTTTTTTTTTTTGTCTTTTTGAGACAGGGTCTCCCTGTAGTGGCACTGGCCTGGAACTCACTATGTAGACCAGGATGGCCTTGAACTCACAGAGATCCGCCTGCCTTTGGCTCCTGAGTGCTGGGATTAAAGGCATGTGCCACCATGCCTGGCTCAGAGAATTATTTTAAACATCCTTTTACTAGAACAGCCTTTTAAAGTTAAAGTTACTTTTACTGTGTGGATTCTAAAATCTTTTCTCTTATGTTTGTCTAGTTTTGACCTTGCTTCTGTGTATTGCTTTCTGACGGTGTTTAGTCCTTTCATGATGGGAGCTCTGATGATGTGGAAGGTTAGTTATTTAAAGTTGTTACTTGCATTACATGACTGGTTTTTAGACTGTGATATTAAGATTATGTAACATGTGACATTAAGATTGTGAAACTGTGATAGAGATACATGATGAGGGAAGAAAATACCCTTTCAAACTTGGTGTTGTTGGAGGCAGACCCTCTAACCCTTGCTTCCAGATATAGTTAATCTTTACTCTTAAGCCTGTTTGAGTACAAAAGAGTAGTGATTCTTTTAGTCCAAGAAAATCCTATCAGAGGTAATTAAAGCCTTCAGGGGAGCTGCAATCAGAACTGAAGTGCTGCTAAAGATTCTAAAGTTCTCTGACCCCATGGGTCCCCAACCACAGGATGGCTACATGTTAAGATCTTTTCTCATAATCCATGCACCTAGAATTGATCTGTTCTTTCAACACATAGGTCTCTGAGTGTTCTGTTCATTTAATGTTTTAGATACTAGCTGAGTGCTGACAGTATTTGAAGTTTCTAGAGATACAGACTCTGATGGAATGCAGTTCACATTCTTCCCCTTCTTCTCTAAGGTCACTGTATTTGTTACTTTTATGTTGCTGTAATAAAATACTGTGACCAAAAAGTAAGTTAAGGAAGAGAGGGTTTATTTTGACATACAGTCCCAGAGGGAATGCAGTCCATCATGGTAGAAAAGGCAAGACATCAGAAACTTGAGGCCAGCCTGGCAGTCAGGAAGCAGAGAGAGAAAACAGGAAGTGGGGCCAGCCCACCCCCAGTGATGTACTTCCTCCTGCACAGCTCCACCTCCTAAAGGTTCCATAATTTTCCCAAACAGCTGCATCAACTGGAGACGAAGCATTAATACTTGAGCCGTGGGAACATTGCTCATTCAGATCACCACAGTCATTGTGCTTACCTTGTTTCCACCACCAAGCTTCTTCTTCTGTATTGCTTGACACATCTTATGAAGAATGTATTTATTTAAATATTCAGATACATGAGTAATAATTGTTAAAGGTTCATATCTTAATAGTTTTTTTAAGTACTACTAACTTTTTTACTACACTAATAGAAATGTAAATTTAAGAAATATTAAAGACGTTTGAAATTTCTCGCCTTATTTTCTATTCTCTAATTATTCTAAAATATATTAAGGTTTCTTTGTCCTTCATCATTTTTTAATGATGATTTTTCTTTGCTGAGTCTATTAAAAATTATGAAACTAATTAAAAATAAGAAAAAAGTTCAAATTAGAATACTAGATCTTTAATTTTGGGCATAATTCTAATTTCTGACAGCATAATACATTTGACTAGTGTTGACTGGTAAGTCCTTATTCATATGTTCGTCTTTGGAAAAGATTCTTGTGCAGTTTTAATTATCATTTCTTTCTCATACCCCATCTTATGAAACATTGAATACATCTATATATTAATAAATAATCATTGAGGGGCTATGAGAGGAGTGGTAAGGAGGCAGTGGGGACTGTCCATGGTCATATTTCTTGCATATGTGTAGGAAATTCTCAAAGAATAGAAAAGTTAAGAAAAACTTGATCACTGGAAAGTAATACCTCAAAAATATTAACTAGGGCTGGAGAGATGGCTCAGCAGTTAAGAGCACTGGCTGCTCTTGCAGAGGTCCTGGGTTCAATTTCCAGCACCCACATGGTACCTAATAACCATCTGTAATTCCAGTTCCAGGGGATTTGATGCCCTCTTCTGACTTCTATGGGCATTGCACAACACAGGTGCACTTACACAGATGCAGGCAGTACATTCATACATATAAAAAACAAAAATAATAAAATACTTTTAAAATATTAACAATACTGATGAATTTTCAAACAGTAAAAACTTTATATCTTTTTGTATTTTTCAAATTACTTAATTGAGCATGAATTTACAATCAGAAATAAAATAGCATTTTAAATTATTTATTATTTGTATGTATATTAGTATTTGCCTGCACGTATTTAAGTGTACCATGTGCATGCAGTACCTGTGAAGACCAAATTTGGGAGTCAGATCCCCTGGAATTGGAGTTAGACAGTTATGAACGACCATGTGGGTGCTGGGAACTCAACCTGAGTCCTCTGCAAGAGCAACAAATGCCCTTAATCACTGAGCTGTCTCTCCAGCCCCCAAATAGCATTTAAAAATAAAAAAGGAGCAACAAAACCACTGAATCATGTTTACAGTGGTGTAGTATCAAAGAGCAAGCTAAGTTCAGGCATCTGTGTATCAAATTATCAGGTTACTTAATTCTTTTAAGGCATTCTGTATCATATCCTCTTGGAAACATTCGAATATTATCATGAATTATTAGAATGAATCAAATAGGACAAAATTGTAATTTTTTTTTTATTTGGAATAGACCTTAATGTTTGTTATCTTTCTTTGTGTATTAATGTGAATCTTTTAAGTTTCATCACTGTTCCATGCCACAGTATCATGCCTTTATTTCAGTTGTTTCTCTTCACTAGAATATATAGGTTATTTGAGAAATTGAAAGTATTTCTGTAAGCAAAAAATAGTATTTTCTTCAAAAGAGTTTTGGGTACTTGTTACCAATAATGTCATTTGTTGTTCTTTGAAACAGATCTTAATTCCTTTTGTTCTTGTGATGTGTGCTTTTGAAGCAGTTCAGATAACTACACAGTTGTCATCAAAGGGGTAAGATAAATGTTCAAGCTGTGGTTTTGCCAATTCTAGTAAATGAGAGAATATTTGAAGATACTTTATGTGATTGCTGTTAAAACCTTGTAACATAATTGTTTATTATAAAAGTTAGAAGTCTTTTACCCTCTTAGAGTATAGTTGTGATTATAGGAAATTGGTTAATTAGGGCCTGTAGCAGACAAGTGTGCTTTCTCAGTAATAAAGCATTAGAATGTTATTCAAGATGGTGAAGACTCTCCCTGGTAAAACGTAGATGTTAATACTGTAGTTAATTATGTGTTTGTTATTAGACATACGGTGCCTACAAAAAATGAGAGGCTGTCATTCCAACTTCTTTTGGCTTTTTTCTTAAATATGTATTAAATTTGTAGACATTATTTCATTTTATATGGTTTGACATTAACTTTTCTGTTAGTCAATACTAAAAGATTGAATAATATTAACATAACTTTGCATTTTCTTCATGCTGAGTTTAAGCTGCCATAATTTTTTCAAAAATTATATCCCTCTATTTAGAAATAGTAGAAATCTTGTTTCTAGTTTGAAAAAGAATGTTCTTTTCAAGATATTTGCATGGATTTAATTATTTATTTTATTTTTATGTGTATGAGTGTTTTGCCTGCATGCGTGTAAGTACACCTGTTCATTCAGTGCCCACAGAGGCCAGAAGAGAGCACCAGATCCCCTGGAACTGGAGTTACAATTAGTTGCTAAACTTTTAGAAGGAATTTTAAAGCAGGACATGGTGGCACATGCCTTAATCCAGCATTTGGGAGGCAGAGGCAGGCAAATCTCTGTGAGTTCGAGGCCAGCCTGGTCTACATAGAGAGTTCCAGGCCAGCTGGGGCTACAGGGAGACCCTGTCTCAAAAGAATTGGGATGAATAAGAACTGAGGACAGTGGAATAAAAAAAGAAAGCTCATCAATAGTGTATCTGTGTTTGTGTATATATGTTTGTGTGTGCATGTGTGTGTAGCAGTCTATATTGAGACTAATGTAGTGGAATACTAAACACAGAAGGAGGTTAGAACAGAGGCAGAGGTGGCAGAATCAAGGGCTATGAAAAAAGGTCTCTTTTGACATTTAAACCCTTAAAAGACTTTGATATTTGCCCTGTTCATCATAAGCACTCCTCAGATTTAATATGTCATCCATTGAATTCAGTGAGTCCCTTTTTTCCTATTGCCAAGTAGCTATGAATCCCATTTTTCCTTTTTCTTTTATTTATTTATTTTTATTTTTTGTGTGTATTATGCCTGCCTGTATGTAAGTGTACCCATGTTGTGTAATGTCCAAGGAGGACAGAAGAGGGTGTTGGATCCCCTGGAACTGGAGTTGTGGACAGTTGTTAGCTGCCATGTTGGTGCTGGGACTCAAACCCAGGTCCTCTGCAAGAGTTGTCAGTGCTCTTAACCGCTGAGCCATCTCTCCAACCACCTGAATCCCTTTTTCTTGACCTAATCTATTAAGCCAAACTCCAACTTTCTTTCACTGCTTATCTACTTGTTAACTGTTGTTCACATCATTTCTTCCTGCCTTTACCTTCACAGTTTTATTAATTTCTGTTGTGAAACATTTTCTTAAAATTCTTAAAAGTCTAGGAGTTGAAAGGGGAGTGTGGCTTGTTTATGAAATCTGTAATGTCAAGAATGAGTTGCATATACCCAACCAATGATTCTAACCACATTTCTTATTCATCCTTTTTTTTTTTTTTTTTTTTTTTTTTTTTTGGGACAGGGTCTCCCTGTAGCCCCAGCTGTCCTGGAACTCACTATGTAGACCAGGCTGGCCTCAAACTCACAAAGATCTGCCTGCCTCTGCCTCACAAGTGCTGGGATTAAAGGCGTGCACCACCATTATTCATCCCTTAAAATATATACTGAATAAAGATGAGGTAGAAAAGCATTATTTTATTTTTCATGAGTTAAAAATGAACTTTTCTAAATGTCAGTTGTCTAGTTCCTTAGTCTCAATGACTGGTTCATCAACAAAACCTTGTGCATTGGGGGCAGAGACCATTGAAAGGGCCTATAGATGAAAAGATTGCTAGCAGTAAATGCATAGCATTGAGTTGAGTGGTAGGCAGCACAGGGCCATTGGGTGCCATCAGCATCCCTGCTTTCCATTCCCCTATTCTTTTGGTGTTGATTTAACCTTTTAGGTTACCTGAGGATATTGTTCACATTTGGATTTTAACATTCTCGAAAGTCTACCTGTTGTTTTATATGAATTTTTGTCTTTATTTTGTAGCCTTTTCCTCATTGTTCTCGTCATATCAGACGTCATGGCTTTGGTAAGGCATTATTCGCTATTCAGTATAACTTAGATCCAGAAACTGAGATCCATGTCCACTCTGTACAAAAAATTCTATATATGGAATTCTAAGTGCTGGTATAATTTACACAGATAAAATTACATTATATTATTATATTATGCAGTAAGTGTGCTCTTTGCGGTGTCAGAATTTTGTTTCATTACCTGATTATCCAAAACTGTCATTTTATACCTAGTCTTTCAGGTTGCTTGTATCTGAAATGAACCTCGTTATAGATTAACAGAAGAAGCCCACTGTAGATTTGGATAATGCATCACTTACATTTGAGTGGAATTGGATTGTTATTCCCCTCAGCTAAAAGAAATGAAAAAAGGGAGAGTGAAGAAAAGAAAAAGGAAATATAGCTTTTCAGTTGGGAACATGTTATCAGCTGGTAGCTATAGTCAGTGAGTTCTGAGTGAGGAACTGGAGATACTCTTCTTGTATATAATGTAGTAACAAAAAGAATAAACCTGATTTAGTTTTGGGTGGGAGTTTCCAAAACCACCCCCACATTTGACAATTCTCTGAAAGGCTTCACAGAACTTGCCAAAGATTGTTATATTCACAGTTTTGGTTTATGACAGTAAGATGATACATATTAAAATCAGCCATGGGAATTGATGTGTACGGTAGGGTGCAGAAGGGCACCAAATGCATAGCTCTGATGTTTTCTTCTGTTAAGTGAGGATAGCATTCCTCTCTCTGCATGTAGGTATGACAGTACATGCTGCCAGCCAAACTTTCCTTAGGTTTGTATCGGGAGTTGGTCAAACACTGCCCACTTGATTGATTTAACCTCCAGTCTTCCCAGGAGTAGAAATGACACCATTTGGCCCCAGACTCCCACCATAAATCATATTGTTAGATTGCCTGGTTACTAATGCCATAGGCAAACACTTCATCAGCTTTTGAAGGGCCTACACATCACCTCCCAGTAGCTGAGGACAAAGGCCACATCTCTTTTGGGGTATGATTAATGTTTTACCATGTAATAGCTCATGCTAATACTATTGGAAACATTACTAGGGTAATTTCCCAAATCTGAATGCTAGTCACGTCATTTAGATGAGAGCATTTTTTGTGTGTTATTCAACTAAATATCCAGTGTATTTCTGAAATTGACCATATATAATATTAGAACAAAATCAACATTCATTTTTGCTCACAAAATGACAAATAGGCAAGGATAGAGAAGAAATGAAATTGGCTAATTTCGCATGAAGAATCAGGTTGCCTAATTTAACCCATAAAGTCATTTGTGGTCCAGCTTCATTGACTGGCATCATTTCTCACCTCTCCCTCCTTGTTGTCTCTAAAACAGCGTTACTTTGAACCCACTAAGCTGTGTCTGAACTCTTGGTATTTAATTGGTTTTTCCCTTGCCTAGAAACACACTCCTGCCTCTATCTCCCCAACTTCGTCTTTATCTGATTTCTACTTTTCCCTTACATTTCCTCTTCTTCTGTGCTTCCATAATTATCTATATTTTTCAAAGATAGCACCTCTCTGTCTCTTTCATGTACACATGCATACACAACACACAGACACACACACATCCACACATACATACGCTCTCACACTCCTAATAATTTGAATCATTCATTAGATTATATGCCTCATGAAGATTTTATTCCAAGACCTTAGCAGTGATTATTAGTAGACAGACTCAGTAAGCATTGATTGAATAATGGGTAATATGGCTTCACTTAAAGCTTTGTGATTTAATGTCTTTTATTAAATTTGGTGGTCGTTTATCTTTAGTTACTCACAAATGTAACTTTTGTGTTTATTTGATTAAATGGTAGTTCTGTCTTTGGCATTTAGATCATTGCTCATTTTAGTCCAAGCAAAAGTTGCAATAAAGGGCATATTGTGGATTCTGGGAGGGGGGGTCAGAATACCAAATATACAATCCTAAAACAACTTTATTGATTGAATTTGTCTTTTTTTTAATGGAGCCATGTGTTCTATATTTTGCAGCATTTTTTCTTCTTAGTCAAGGATTATGGCAGCTGGCTTGATATTGGAACAAGGTACATAAATGGTCATAGAAATTCCAAATGGTGGCTGGTAGAGAAGGTGCCGGTATGATTTTGAGGCAAGCATAGCAAATCCTCTTGAAGCGAGGCACCTTTTTCTAATTCTTGGCATGAACACATTCTCAGGTATTTTCTTGGGATGCTGTGGGGGAGGTGGATGGATGTTTAGTCTGGAGAGAACTGAAGGGCAGCAGGAAGATGTAAGAGAGACTGCCTGAATCTGGAGTTTCAAGTAGATCTCTCCAGTGTCCTTGTGTATTCTCTTAATCTCACAATCTCTTTGGAAAAATAAGGCTATTCAAGTTTGCCATGAATTTTATGTGTTGATTTCAATTTCATGCTGTTATTATCTTTTAGAAGCTTTAATATGGGAACATTGTAGCATGCTGTTATTTAAAGCATAATCTGCACAAAAAAGTCAGTTTCCTCTTTACTATCATCTATCAGTTGCCATAATCGGTTAAATTTCTTCTTTGAAAAGAAGAAAGCAAAGTTAATCCCCCCTCCACCACCCCCTCAATGGATTCTGAAACAGAATGTTTTTATAGACTGATTTTATTTCATTTAGTCAATATTTACTCACACTTAAGCTGCTAAGAATTGTGTGGGTTTTCTAGAGAGAGTGCATTAGACAGTCTCTCATCCTAGTTCCTATCTTGTACCACTGTGTTGTTTGCATACCTGTCTCCCTCTCCTGATGTACTGGATTCCCTCAGATCTGGGATTTGATTTGAGTCTCTTACATGCCGTGTATGCTTCACAGGTAGAAGGTACTGGGCATCATTGATTTTTTTCTTCATTTCTCTTCCTGAATATATGAAAACCTGAGGCAGTGTTTTGATGTCTTCTCCTTACCACCTCTCTTGTCCCAAAGACCCAGGCAAAGAGTAGGTCATAGGATGGATTCAGAACTTGGGTTCAAGACCCTGTTCTGTCATTTTTAGCTGTGAGACCACAAGTGACTTTTTCTTCCAAAGCACCTCCCCCTTTTCCTTGTAGTCATTTTTAATTAATTCGTGAAAACATTTAGCATAGTGTCTGACATCTAATGAGCTTCAATAGATATCTGATACTATTACTATTGTTATTCTAGAGTTTTGTTTTTAATCCTTTAAAATGCTTCTTGTATTTGATCTTTTCTTATTCTCTTCATATAATTCAATTAATTTATATTCATTGTAGACATATGTACTGGTTGCTTTCTGTTGCTATGATAAGCACCATGACCAAAACCACCTTGGGGAGGAAAGGGTTTATTTCAGCTTATAGTATGTCCAGTCCTTCATTGAGGGAAGCCAGGGCAGGAGTGGAAGCAGGAACCTGGAGGCAGAAACTGAAGCACAGACCATGGAGGATTGTTGCTTGCTGGCTTGTTCCTCTGGTCTGTGCTCAGTCTGTGTTTTGGAAACAGGGTCTCCCTGCAGCCCTGGCTTCAGCCTGCTTTCTTATACAACACAGGAACACCTGTCAGTGGAGGGGGGGGTACCACCCACAATAGGCTGGGCCCTCCCATATCACTCAACAATCAAGAAAATGCCCCACAGACAATCCATGGAGGAAACTACTAAATTGAGGTTCTTTCCACTCAGGCGTGTCAAGTTGACAACTGAAGCTATCCCAGCCCAACATAGGTCAAAGTTTGGTTTGAAAAATATTGATAATATATGGTATTTTGGGGACTGCAGATGTGTCTCATTTGGTAGAGTTTGTGTCTACCATGCACGGAACCCTAGGTTCAATCCCCAGCAAATCATAAAATTGGGTGTGGTGGCACATACCTGTAATCCCAGCACTGAGGAAATGGAAGGAGGGGGATCAAAAGTTTAGAGTAATCCCCAGCTATATAGTGAGTTTGAGACCAGCCTGGGATACATGAGACTCTGTCTCAAAAAAAAAGCAACAATTTTTAATGATATTTTTATATGAAACTTTTGCTTTTTAAGTGTGGCAAAATACATACAACACAATATTTATCATCATAAACATTTTAAGCTACTACTGTCACCCATCTCCAAAATTTTTTCCACCTTACAAAACTGAAACTTTGTACTTACTGAGCCATAACTCCCTTTCTCCCTCTCCACTGTCCCAGTCAGCCACCATCCTACTTTCTGTCTCTGAATTTCATTGCTCTGCCTAGTGTCTTGTGATTGGATACTTTCAGTTAGTGTAGTGTCTTGAAGGGTCATTTGTGTTGTAGCATGAGTCAGAATTTCCTTCCCTTTAAAGACTGAATACTACTCTCTTTATGTGTTTACCACATTTTGTTTATCTCTTCATCTGTCAGTGGGTACCTGGGTTGCTTCCACCTTTGGGTTATTGTGAATTGAATAATCCTGCCAAGGACATGGGAATGAGATGGAGAAATTTACTGGTTAGGTCTTAAAGAAGTGTCAAAGAATGAAGAGGATAGAATTTTCACATGAAAATGAATGTCATTAGTTTATATTGTATTTAAAAAGGTTAGATTTTCTTTTGCTGGCTTGAAGCTTATCTTTACCTATTTTTTTTCTTTAAAGCACACAAACTCTACCAACTGAGACATATCTGCAGTCCCCAAAATACCATATATTATCAAAGTAGTTGTGGGAATGGAAAAGTGCATACATGATCCTAGGCTCTCAAGGATCTTAAGGCTAGAGGAGGAAACATTCCTAGGCAGGTAATCTGGTGCATTGTGAAGAGTTATAGAGAAGTCTGTGAGGTGCTGTGGGGACACTTGGGGTACCTGGTTAAGACAAGGGAAGGGAAGGCTTCTTAGGGTATGGATTGTTTAAACACTATAAGTGTAAGGTTCAGAAGAGTGTACTGGGTCACAAAACCAGGGAGAGTGTGTAAAGAACAGTGAGAAGACATGAAGTGTGAATGTGAGACTAAAAGGGGCCAGAGGGAAGGATGCAACCAAGAGGGAACCATGCTATGGAAACTAAGTGTTTC